TGAGAACACATTTGCCTTTAGTTTGGATGACATGTACATGCATAATTTCTTGTGTTACCTGTTTATTTATTTTACAAGGAAACATATTGAATATTAACAAAAGTTTCAATTATATTCAACTTGTTCATATAGCTCTTGGTTCCAGCACCAGCAGTGATGATTGCTCGCGAGTGTCAATGCATCCTCTTAGATTAAAGGAACGTCCTCAAGTGCCGGTCCATCTTCTGATAAAAAAAAAGCTTTTAAATCTTTGGAGACATTTCTCCATTGTGACCTCCGGTGGTCCGACAGGCACTAGCACTCCAGAGAGGGTCTGGACAATGTTGCGGAGAGAGTGTCTTCCAACACTTACAAAGCAAACTAAAAAAAGGTCTGGGGTCCAACACACTTCAGCAAGCATCTCTGATAAGTCCATCCACACATGTTCTGCGCAGCTGTCCCAGTGGAAGAGAGATAAGTGTCGGTGTTTGGTGGAGAGAGACACACATCTGGCTTCATGCATGTTTGACAGTCACAAAGATGAGACTGCGTAGAAGGCCAGAACACAAAGCACATTGAAGGCCTTCAATTATGAATCAATGAAATTTTGAAAGAAAAAAAACTATATACAATTATATATTTAAAATAAAATGAAAAATAGAATCCCAAAACATTGTGATATTATAATAACCATTATTTGATTGTCACAATTTCATAATCATTGCTGAATGCTACATACAGAAAACTATCTAATTAATCACATTATATAAATTCAATGAAAATTTTAAATTTTAAATAAATTAATATAATTTTTGTTGTTGTTTTTTTTGGATTATTAATCATCTGTTAAATGCTTAGAACTGGAATATTTTCCAGTTGTTTAGAAAAAAATGTTTTTGGTAAAAAAAATGGTTCACGCTCATTTTTGTGGAAATTATATCTATATATTTGGAAGGTCTTCATTTTTCTTGCAGTCAAAATGTTTGCATTGTTTGTCATCTTGGATGTTGTGCAACACACATCTCACAATACTGGCTAATGTTTACCTCTTTTTTCATACCAGGTCCTATAGTTTGTCCAAGTGGCCACTTTTCAGCCCATAAAACATGCCATGCAACTTGTAAACGTGTACAGAAGTGTGTTGCATTGGTGTGGTTTACAGATGCTGGTCTGCTTCATTGAGAGAAGCTGGCCCAGTGAAAGTGCTTGATCAATCATCCCCGTGCGTGTCTGCACTGGCGAAGGCTTCCAGCTCGTGTCCCGCAGGAGAAGCCGAGAGATAGCTGAGCTCTGACACTGAGCAGGGGTCTGCGTTTGAAGTGTGTGATCATGAGCTGGTGTTACAGGTGAGTGTCATTAACTGACCGCAATACCATTACAAACCTGCACATACAATTCTCACAGCAGTCCGCATACCTCAGTTACACACCAACAAACACATAAACACACACTACTGAGTGCTGAAAGCCTTCCCAGTGCCTTTTGTGCATCTTTTCTTTCAAACTGATATTAGAGGAACATTCTGGGTTCATTAAAGGTGCATTGCGCAAGTCTCTGAGTTTTTGCAGAACTATGCCCCCTCTGGCGATAAGCGAAACTGCAACCAGAGGTGTGCACGCTCATGGACCACACGCACACGCACGCTTGCACGAGCCGGTCTCTTTGAATCCATCTTCTACTTTTGTCGAAAGTTGACTTAAGTTTTGTCGCTCGAGTTGTCTTCGCTGATACGGAGAATGGCGGCGAATACACAAACCTGCCAGACAGAGCCAGGGGAGCGTGAACGCGCGTCTTTTCCGGAAAGCGCCGGAAGTGATCTCTCGCGCATGTACGTCACTCATTGTTTACACAGAACAGAGATTGTAGGTAAGACAGCTAATTAAAATGGTACTAATTTGCGCTTATCCGGGATGTTAAAACCGTCGTAAAAGAAAACAATTAAAATAAATAAAAAATAAAACAATTGTATGAGTGACGTACACGCGCGAGAGATCACTTCCGGCGCTTTCCGGGAAAAGACCGAAGCGCCGGCGCCGTCAGATCACTTGGACGTGGCTGTGGTTACAAGAGGTAAAACGATATAAATACTGTTCGTTTTCTCACACAAACCGCTCGTTTCGTGTCTTAGGCCATCAATGTCTACTTACATTTACGAGTCATTAAATCATGTTTAATTTGGACTTCTCTGTGCTGCTCTTTGAGGTGGTGACCATAGACCTGCATTATATGACTGACAGACAAGAACGGTTTGACCTAAAAATATCAAAATTGAAACTACTGCGGAAACAAAGACACCTACATCTTGGATGCCCTTGAGGTAAGCTAAAACATACCAAAAATTAATTTCAAAGTGAACTATCCCTTTAAATAGTTAAGCTTAGTTGATAGCATTTGTGGTATTATGTTCATTCACACAAACACACTAGAATTTCATCTCGTCCTCCTTTACTTCAAAAAAGCAAAAGTCTAATGAGACAAACTTGGAATGGCCAGTTTTTGGAGGATTTGAAAGCATAAACGTAAAGTTCAGACTGCAGGTAAATGTGGCACAAATCTGATTTGTTTTGCTCATGTGTGACTCAGATCTGGTTTTGGCTGCGTTCAGGCTGTCAGTCCAAATCCGATTATTTGTGTATCCGATTGGAATCTGATATGAAATGATTTGCTGTCCATATTATGTATCACAACTGTACAGATCCGATGTGTGTGTCCATGCCGCTCTTTTATTTACCAGAATATTAACTCTAAAACATTGCAATGCATAATTCAAAATACGGATAAAACACCTGTGTACAATCAATACAGAAAATTCCTTCAAATTAATACAGTATTATTTTTACAGATTTCTCTCGGAGTGAAGAGTAAAGAGAAAGAGAGACCAGTTGGACTGAATTACTGTGGTATCAACATTATGCCACAAGTGCTGTCAATTCAATTGAACTTGTATTGAACCTGGAATATTCCTTTAAGTCAACATCTGACTGTAAAACACCAACTGTCGTCAAAGTGGGGCTTACAACGAGAAATAGTGTTTGTTTAAGGGGAGAATCTTTATATAATTGAAAAATAAATGTCCTATAAGTAAACGTGGAACAGAATGCGTGAGCCATTTTATTTGTGTCTAGATGGGAAACCAGATATTTGATGTAGAAAAATAAAAATAGTGGGATTTGTTTGGATTGATTGGGTCATCAAGAGAGAGAGAGAGAGAGAGAGAGAGAGAGAGAGAGAGAGAGAGAGAGAGAGAGAGAGAGAGAGAGAGAGAGAGAGAGAGAGAGAGAGAGAGCTTAGGGATGTCCACTGAAAATGGAAGTGATTTCAGAGGTTCTGGATAAAGATTACGAAGACAAGCTCAGACGAATCTTGTAGAGATAAGACCAGGAATGTGTATTAAGAAAGCAAACAGGTTCCGTTTTGAATTACTAGTAAAGAAAAGAGATGCTTCTCCAAACATGAAGACATCTCCTCCACTCCAGACCCAGAAGGTGTGCGGGAGGAGCGGTGGCACTGTATTGCTGTGTGACTATAGTAGAGCCAGACCGGTGAATGATACGGTGATGAGTGTGTCTGCGAGTGCTTCTTCACACAGCGGGGGGAATGTCATATCACAAGGGCAGGAGGTCAGACCGAGACATTAGGAAACACTGACTGATCTCACTGCAACTATAACGGTTAGATGACAGTGATCACACATTTCAGATTAGCGCTGGAATGGTGTAAACATGCTGTTAGGTTTGAACATTTTCAATATTATTCATTTATCTCAATCAACATCCTTTTTAATTTTCACTTTGTAAGGCGAGTATACAAAGAAATCCTGGTTTCCATAAAGATTTTATTTTTTATTTTTCACCCTATAGAATGTATTAAGTATTAAGTATTACCCTATATTATGTATTAAGCCAACAAACTGATCTTGGAACTTTTGAACAACAATTTCTATCCTCCTGAATTTTTGAATTTAGTATTTTGACAAAAAAAAATGTTTTAATTATATTTGATTCATATGTTATGCTGTGTCCACTGTAGTCGACACCAGGACTCAGTTGTTTAAAAAATAAAACGACATTAAATGACGTGTATAGAAAAAAACATTGGGATTTTTTTTTCATTCACCAATCAATTTTTAGGTTTTAGGATTTTTTTTTAACCAAACTTTGTATAAAGATGATTCTCAAAGTGTTATGAAAAATATAACGTATTGAATTGATATACCATTTTAATTAATGTGGGCCATCCCGGTAAATGTGTTGTGCCATTCAAAATAATGCTATACATATCATATCGTATGTAATTGCACATTAATGTGTTCTTAGGGCAACATGTAATGAAAAAAGAAGTGTAATAATGGGAGTAATAATTGGCAACATTTTCACAATAATATCTAATAGCCTATTTCATAGGAATTTTGCATATAATTTAATTTGTTGTGTCTCCCAAAATGCCTGATAAACATGCTGTAAGTCCTGGTGTCTCTACAGTGGACATGTGTGATATCAATGCCCTGTTTTGTAACAGAAAGTCATATTTTGATTAGAAACCCCATAACATTTTCCTGAGAAGTTGATTTATGACAAAAAAAATAAGATTATTCAGATTTAAATGATAATTATAAAATATTATCATATTTCTATAAGAGTGCTAATATTAATGTCAGGCATTTTTCTTGTTGAAACCTCCAAACATTAGAAAGCCCTGAATGTGCTCTTTTAAAACGGTGACATGAGAAATTTAGGCTACTAAAACATAAGGTTCACTACAGTGGACAAAAGTCTATTCCTGGGTCCCAGGACTATAAACATACACGCTCTTCCAGTCTCGATGCAAGTGTGGTGAACCCGTGTGATGACATCGCGGGAAAAGAAAACGAAAGGATTGCATGTGTTTGCTAGCGCGCTCATTATTATCCACAGTACGTGAATGTAAGTTACAGAAGGAAATATATCTCGTGTGTTTGCGTTCTCTGGGGTTTGTGTGAGGTGTTGGGTTGAGAGAGTAGGGGAGGAGGCAAAGGAACTTCATTGGGCGGTCACATAAAAACTGCCAGAAGAACTGGATGCGGGATCAGTCGGTGATGTTCTCCGTTCTCGCATTTTCCTGGAGCTACAGATCCACTGGACTTCTTCAGCTGGCTTCTTCTTCTACATGACGCGGAACTAATGGCCTAAACATTCCCTTCAGCCTTGGACTTTTGCTATGTGAGGCGAACTCCGTTGAAAACTCCGTTTTACGTCTTCTCTTCAGGAATACCGTGCGCATCTCTACCAATGGTAAGTTGGCATGTCGTATTGAAGTCAGCATTCATTAAGATATAGTCATAGTAAGAGGTGATTTATGACTTTATCTGAGGTAGGATATACGTGGTTATTTAAAACCCAATTACACACGTTCAATACGCTTTTTGGACATTTTGTGTGAAGCTATATGGAAATCCTTTACTTCCCATCTTGTTCGAAGAAAGACGCAATTATTATAATTCACGGGAGCTGTCTAGATTGTCCCGTACAAAATGACGAATTGTATTGGGAATGTTACACAGCATTAAATATGTCAATATGTTGCTCAGTCACTCGGATGTTTATGGTAAATGTTTTTGCAAGTTTACCACCAACGCGTGCAAACACCTGACCGCACACACACACACACACACACACACACTGGGCTGGATGGTTGGAATATAGCATATGGCATTTCATTCAAACAGAAAATATATTTTATGTTTAATTTATGTTTTAAGGTGGTGGCTAATACCATGTTACTACAAGTTTAATTGCTGTATGTTGTCAACTCTTAACAGTTATTGTCGTAGCTAACAAAAATGTAACGTTTTGCTAATGTTCCCATTATGAAAACGTCTAATGTTTTTTCTTTGTTATGCGAATGTTAAGGGAACATTATTGCAAGCATTATTGGAACGTTAATTTGGAATGTTCTCGGAACATTCTAAAACAAGAAGTGACATTTATGTACAAAATGTTACATGCACATCCAACTAAAACGTTTCAGAAAAAAAAACAATGTAGGCCTATAAAATAACATGTTTGTGCTAATGTATTGAGAATATTATTAAAGACCAGATAAGTTTGAACATTACTGTAAGAATGTAAGAAAGAGAACCTTGCCAGAATGTTAGCCAAAGCTCTGATAGCTGGGAAAGCAGAAACATATCAAGATTACTTCTGGAATCTACAACAAAATTCTAGATTCTAAATGTTCCAAATCACTGTGACACTAAATCCAAATTTAGTGTCACATTCCTAGCTCAGGGCTTGCACAGCATTTAGCTATGTTGTTGTTTTTATCTCAAGTTAGTGTTAAAGAAAATAGTTAAGTGAAAAGTTAAGTGAAACCAGTCTCCAGTGTAAGAATGCACTAGTAAATGTGACCTCCACGAATGTTTTGAAGACTTGCACTTTGTCTTAAATGAGTTGTAGTGAAGAGTGGTGGCACTCAGTCAAGCATAAGAACACGTCTGAAAGGTTTTATGAGGTACATTATGACATAAAGAGACACGGCAACCATGGGCTCATTTGGCAGGGATCTTTGTCTTTAGTTCAAGGAGGTGGAAAGCAAAAGAAAAAATTAGAGACTCTAAATATCTTTTTAAATACTTGACATTAAAAGTAAACTGTTGCAAGAGTCAGTCAGTCCACTACTGAATACAGATCAACAGATGTTGTCGTCTAGACTCTAGAGCAAGGGTCTTGAACCTTTCTTAGGCCAAGAAAGGGCTTCTTGTTAAATTTGCTTATACTGTACTTGCATACTTTGTTATTATGCTGCTTATTGCAAAGTCATTAAAATCCTTGTTATTGGTGGGCAGATGTGTACATTAGTTTATTTTAATGTGGGAGAGACAACAACACATTTAGATTAGTTGTTTTCTTAACTCATTTTCATTTTATTCTTTTGTTTTCATAAAAATTTGTTTGGGATCAAACAATAAGATTATGCATGTACATGTCCTATGAGCTTTGATAGCACAGAAGGCTATACGCTACTTTGCATTGGCTGAGCTATTAAGCTGTCTTGTTTTCTAAATGCACATGATGCTACTCAGGCTTCCAGATTTGATTTCTGAATAAAACTGGTCAGAGGTTAAATCCTAACATTGACTGCTCAATATTGTCCCACATACCCTGTCCCACACATCTGAAGAACCATGTGCATAACCTAATCTCATTAAGCAGGGTTAGGGTAGAGCAAAGTCGAGCACTGTGAGCTTTACACGACTCTGCCAAATTAAAGGACTATAAACCCACACTGTGCAAAAGCACATGCATTGCTCTCCATCTTCAAACACATCAAAAAGGGATTCTGTAAATATTTAGGGCAGTATCTGTAGGCGTTTAAACAAGAGTAGGTGGTCTGAAGAAACCAATTGTTTGTGCTTTGTTACATGTTTTCTGGCATGGCGGATCAAAGTCTTTTAGTTACGCTCATTTTTATGGTTTGCTCTCGACATAATGGACTGTTGGAATAGCATTGCTGTTAAAACTGCAGACATCTTTTTAAAGGTATATCACTCTAGAATGACAAGCACTATCACAACTGCAGCTTGATCGTGAAGACGGGGAGAGAGAAATAACACTCGTGACCACACACACACACACACACACACACACACACACGGTGTTCTTGTTAAAATGCATCATTCCTGCAGTAATGGTTGGACTTGGTCCAGTAGAACTAAGTCCAAGAAATGACAAAATACAACTATTGAGTTCAGCTGTGGTGAGGTTTCAGTGGTGACGTTGTTTTCTGAGACCTTTCCCAAGCACTTGTGATTGTTATTACTGCATTTACTCTGCACTCGGATAATTCGTTGAAAATCACATTTGTGGAGTCGCACGGTTGCAACCAAGATATCCATTAAACACACTCTGCTTTTGGCACGCATCTGGATGTTACGGGTTAACAAACCAGGACGGTGCCGCTTGCATGCCTAGTCTGGGTTGGGGGATTTTTAAAGACTCTTTAAGAGGCACTTGTAAGAAGACCATCAATAAAAGAGGCAGTTTTGAGATCCCTTTGTTGACAGACGAACCTCTATTTGTATGTAAATTGGAAGTGCCGTCCTTTCAGGTGTTCACACCTGGTAGTCTTGTAAATGAGCGAAGATAACGTGTTGCACAGGCAGCATTTTAGTTGCTTAAAGGTGTCTGGCCTAAACTTGCATTTTGCTCTTAGTGTAAATATACTCTTGCCTTGCAATCATGCCATGCTTATACTGAAATGTTTACCCTATTTACAAATATACTCTTGTCTTTCAGGAAAAGGATCTCACCGCAGTTCTTAAACAGCCTTGCAGGACGACGTAACATTCGCTTGAGGAACTCGTCCTGTATCACCTCTCTACAAACATGGATTGTTTTCCCATGCTTTATTTTCTGTCGGTAAGTGGACCACGCCTATCCAGTCTTAATTGTGTGACGGGGTTGTTACATTTTTGCTGCAAATTAAAAGGCTTAGTCATTCTTTACAAAAAAACAGTGGTCAAGCAGGAGTTTTGCTGTAAGCTGTTTTATCTTGCGGTTTGTGCACTTGAAAATTGTAGGCTGCCATCTTTGTTTGACATCAGTTGTGATTACCAAACTGCTGTTTGGTTTGACCCTTAAAGCGATAGTTCACACAAAAAAAGAAAATTCTGACATCATTTACTCACCCTCCCATCATTCCAGACTTGTGCGTTTTTTTGTCTACAACAAAAACTCTTAAAAAAAAAGTAAGAATTTGGCATCGATGGTTCCATGAAAAACCTTTAACATCCATGCAGTTTTTGTACTTTATTGGGAAAAGTTTCTTCAGTTTATTTTAAACATTCTTCAGACTAAGAAAACGTGATTCTTTGGGGAACCAAAAATGGTTCTTAAATGGCTTTGCTGCGAAAACTCCTTTTTTTAATGGGGTCCAAAGTTGTTTGAATCCCTTTAAATGTATTTTTTTGAACAAATGATGACATGAGGGTGAGTAAATGACGACAGAATTATATTTCATTGTTTGTTAAATGATCCCTTAAATTTCTCAGCTCATTTCTTTATATAGTTGTAAACTATTGAATTATAAACAAGTTATGAATAAGGTCCAAAACATACTTTGCGCAAGTACATGAATCGAAAGTACTTTTTTAGTACTTTTATTGGAGTAGTTTTACAAATATACTATTTAAGTCTTTCTAGACCCAAATTTTACATTTCATTCAATCTGTTACTTGCCAATTCTTTGTAATTACTTGTGAAATGTACTAGTAACTTCTGTGTTTTTTCAAGTAAATCTCTTTTAGTTTCTTCAGTGTAATTTTGTTGCATTCTGAAAGACTATCATGATTTTTTTTAGTTCAACTAGTGTCATGGTGGAGCAACAGTTTGAAGTGCATGTTGCTCAGTAAGTTAGGTAAAGTTAGTGGTCACATTTGCAAGATTTTGTGGTCAAAAAACGATCATATCTTACGTAGCCATGTATTTTGTACAGCTAACACTGAAGTCACTTTGTGGGGAAATCGTTTGAACAATGGTAAATGAAGTCGAAAGATGCATAGCTACTTGAATAAAAACCCGTAGTTATTTGAAGGAAACTTTGTCGCCCCCTTGAGTACGGAGGTCACACTAAGCGTGTTCAACGAGACTCTCAACCTTTGAAAACTTGCATAAAGTATGTTTCTGAGCTAAATGATTTTGTGTTTTTGGTATTCTGTTTCATCATTGAATGTGACACAGAAAAGGCAAACATCTTTCACTGAAGTCTTGCTTCTCTGTTTCCTTGTTCAACCGCCCACCAGAGACATCATGATTCCTGGTAATCGAATGCTGATGGTTATTTTATTATGCCAAGTCCTCCTGGGAGAGAGCAGCTATGCTAGTCTAATACCCGAGGAAGGGAAGAAGAAAGTGTCGGCTCAGCACCTGGGTCAGAGTCATGAACTGCTGCGGGACTTTGAGGCCACGCTCCTGCAAATGTTTGGGCTTCAGAGGCGCCCGCGACCCAGCACCTCGACCGTCGTGCCCCAGTACCTGCTGGACCTGTACCGGCTGCAGTCGGGGGAGGCGGACGAGGACCTCAGCTTCCATTATCCCGAGCGGTCCACCAGTCGGGCGAACACCGTGAGAGGATTCCATCATGAAGGTAAAACAGCAGAGAGTTTGACCATTTATGGCTGGTCTTATGGTGTACGCAGCTGTTATTAGTGCAATAACAATGGCCTTTTTAGCCCGTCTACATGTTCTGCTCCACTGTATGGATTGTTTAGGTGAGACACATGTGATTGATGGATTTATTTAGTCTGTTTTTTGGAAATGAGTCCAAGACAAATTTCCCTAAGGGGACAATAAAGTATATTGTATTGTATGTATTGTACTTGCCCAGCTTTGCTAATGTTTCCATTCAGTTGTGAACTTTCAAAATGTCCAGTTTTTTAAATGTTAAGAGGACATCATCACGTTTTATCATTTTGCAAACATCATGGGAACGTTAGTTTTGAATGCTAACTAAACATCTAACTAAAACATTTCAGAAACGACAGGTGTGTAAACGCCGTTGTGCCTACATTTTGACTAGATAACTTTGAACGAACTTTCTATTAATGTTACTGGAAGAACGTTTGTTCATAACTAAGTTCTGAGAACGTTGGGATCGTTTAAACTCAACCCAGCATTTAAAGGGAATTTTCAAAAGTTTATACTTTTTCATGTGGATCCCGTTGAGGGACTTTCCTCAACATGTAATTATTTTTAATGCTGTACTCTACAGATTTCTAAATAAACTCCTGTTGCCAACCATGTGGTCTGTTAGGCAGACAGGATTCCTAGAATAAAAACGTTCAGATTCAGGGTGATAGAAGGCCATCGGCATGCTTAAACAGTCTATTCTTGCTATTTTATGTTTTTTATAACTTTCATACCTTCACTGTAAATGTGCTAACCTGCAGTTGTTACCTTAAGTCAATTTTTTTCCTGATTTAACCCATAAAAATGATTTTTGCTGATATAAATTGATGTATAAAGGTTGATTTAGTGATGTTAAATCATATTTTTTTCTTGTTAATTAAGATGATTTACCTTTTTTCAGTGTAAATGAATCAGAGTTCATTAAAAAATGCGGAGAAGAGACACTGAAATAAATGATACTTTGGACCAACTATAAATTGTTACATCTAAATGTTCTAAAGGTTGTTTTTTTTATTATATATTTACAAATTACACCTTAAATTTATTTGGTTTAATATCAATCCAAATATTTATTTTCCCAAAGACAAAACATTCATACAAAAAAAAAAACTTAATAAATATACTGTACTATCATTAGACACCAACCCAAAATACTTAATGTAGTTCAATATATATATATATATATATATATATATATATATATATATATATATATATAGATTGTGTTAGTCAACTGTTTATTTGGTTTACTTCCTAGAAATAAGGACAACTTCAAAAGACCTTAAAGTTTATTATGGTGTCTTTTTAAAATATGGACCATTTTTTCTGTTGTGCAAAAAAACAAAACATTAAAACAATTAAAAATGAATAATTGCTGCTGTCAGTAAAGCTATAGCCAGTGTGTGTTCTGCACTTCAACAACACTCTGTCAAGTGAAAATATTATTTAAACAAAAGTGTTTGTTTTATTTAATTTTTCTATGAGGAGTGTTATTTTGAACGTCTGTTGATTACTATTGAAAAAAAAATATTTAAAAAATAGCTGGATGACAATTAAGCCTCGTTCAGACTGTCAGTCCAAATCCGGATTGAAATCCGATCAAATGTGAACAGCAACAAATCACATGAAATGCGATTTTACAAATCCGTTTTGAGCTACATTCATAAGGGGTTTGAAATCCTATTCACATCGCATTTCTGGATATCAGTTTCAGTTCGACCACTGTGATCGGGTTACGCGTGGGTCATGTGACATAAAACGTAAACATGTCAGAAAACATGCTGAAAGTCGCTACACATTGTCTTGTTGTAAATAAGACAGCATCTGTATTGCAAACCCCTCCATGTTGATGTTGTTGATGTTGTTTTTGCCGTATGCCTAGAAACCAACGTAGATATTCCAGTCGAACGACATGCAAATCAGATCCGGGATATACACGAATAATGGGATTTGGACGGACAGTGTGAAGGCACTTCCAATCCTGTTCCTGGAGATCTGCCTTCCTACAAAGTTCAGTCCCAGCCCTGATCAAACAGCTAATGAAGATCCTCAGGGAAACTGGGAGATGAGTTTGTCGGAGCGAGGTCGGTCTGAACTCTTCAGGAAGGCAGATCTCCGGGAACACTCCTGATGGATGGGATGATAAAGAGTTCGTCTGTCAATGTCACACTATGAATCCCGATTGGGCGATTAGTTCCACGACTCGATTGTCATACGGACCAATACCAAAGTGAATATTTGAATATTAAATTATTTTAAATATTTAAGAACAATCTTGAAAGCTTCTGCTGAGAAGTTATAAATAGGTTGGCCTAGCAACAAGACAAACATGGCAACAATATTACGTTATTCATTTCTATATTATTATTTTTAATCTGAAAATCCAAATGACGCCGCTTCCTTTATTTAATGTTCTGTGAGTCTTTTGCCAGTTTCTTCTTCTGAATGAATGAATGAAGTTTTCAGTGGAGTTTCTAGCCATCTATTCAATAAAGAAACACTGAAGTCTTTCTCTTAGTAAGCTGATATTTAAATGCTTAGTTTTATGATCAAAATGTTTTAAAGTATGTAATGCAATGCAATACAATGATGATTGACAGATGAACTAATAAACCTTCCTCAAAAGCCTGATGATCATATTTGATACGCATGATTATGATAATAAATGATGTATGATAATCAAGTAAAGTGAAGCTGCTTCAGTCCAGCTGAAATATTACTAACAATATCAAAGTTATTCCTTAATAATCAGGTCACATTTGACACAGAAAGACTCGTGAAGCTCGAGCTGAAGGAGGACGTTTGTACAATTACACTGAAAGACTTTTACTGGATAAAAGAGTCTGAACTCTCAGTCAGATTTTTTTCTAACAAGTAAACCTGAGTTTTTCTCTAAGTTTTGATCACTTAGAGGCCTTCGAAATGTGCATGTGAAACACGATGCGGTGTATTTGATAGGGTTTCTCTGGTCATTTGACCTGTTCTCTCTGTGTCTCCTCCAGAGCGCATGGAAGAGTTGCAGTCAGACGGGTCTCAGGAGACTCCGCTTCGCTTCATCTTCAATCTCAGCAGCATCCCAGAGGAGGAGCTCATTTCCACCGCAGAGCTTCGTATCTACAGGCAACAGATCGATGATGCAAGCGCAGATCCGGCACACGCGGGAGACGAGGGTCTCCAGCGGATAAACATATACGAGGTGCTGAAGCCTCCGCGGGCCGGGACGCTCATCACGCAGCTCCTGGACACGCGGCTGGTGCGCTACAACACGTCCCGGTGGGAGAGTTTCGACGTGAGTCCCGCCGTGCTGCGCTGGACCCGTGATAAACGCTCAAACCACGGGCTCGCCGTGGAGCTCGTGCACCTGAACCCGAGCCGGCGGCCACAGGGACGCCACGTCCGCGTGAGCCGTTCCCTGCATCCTATACCGGACGAAGACTGGGACCAGCTCCGCCCACTGCTAGTCACGTTCGGGCACGACGGAAAAAGTCATCCGCTGACGCGGCGAGCAAAGCGAAGCCCCAAGCAAAGAGGCCGGAAGCGCAACCGCAACTGTCGGAGACACGCGCTTTACGTGGACTTCAGCGACGTGGGCTGGAACGACTGGATCGTGGCTCCGCCGGGATACCAGGCGTACTACTGTCACGGCGAGTGTCCGTTTCCCTTGGCCGACCACCTGAACTCCACCAATCACGCTATCGTACAGACGCTGGTTAACTCGGTGAACACCAACATTCCCAAAGCCTGCTGTGTTCCCACCGAGCTCAGTGCGATCTCCATGCTGTACCTGGACGAGACGGACCGCGTGGTGCTGAAGAACTATCAGGAGATGGTGGTGGAGGGATGCGGATGCCGCTGAGACACGGGACACACTTGCACCCGTATGTGGACGCTTATTTATAACTTCTGTGTTGAGATGTGTGTTTGTCTCATTCTTTGTCTGATCGATCATATATTTTGACAAAAAGTATATAAATATATATTTATATCAACATAAGTAAAAAAAAAAAAGTTTTTAAAAGTGTCCTTATTTGAATTATAATTCAGCTGTACAGCTTTCCATAATGTATATCAGTCTGTATAAGGGTTTTTCTATGTGCTAGAAGAATTAGAAGCCACTAAAAGTTTATTTACTGCTAGTATTTATTTCTTTAATACAATATACATTCACGAAAATAGAAATGCGTAGCCAACGAACCCCCGATTTGATCAGAACGCATCGTTTGTGTACTTAAAATAGAGCACTGTGTGAAATCCTAGGAAAACTGATTTGCTTCTATATCAGTGAAAGGAATCGGATGTGTATTGATGTGAGTTAATGTTTTGCATCAGCATGTGATTTACATGTTCCCAAAATAACTTTGTTGTTAAATAAATTGTGAAACATTCCAACAACAATGTGAGATTAATCAAAGGTAGTGTGTGCTGTTCTGTTTCAAAGGTCAAGAGCGAAGGGATGATATGGGCTTCTCACACACACTGGAAGGCATATATAAAACAAATGCAGTTTTAAAACCTTGTGTATCTATGCCAGTCGTCTTCAAACATACTTTGTGAACTCATGAACTGTCTAATGCTGAAACGGCATTGCTTGCATTTTGTCATTAAATTGCACACTTTTAAAGTATTTTCATTTGCATGGTTCAATTACGCTTTTAATCAAAAATGGTTTATACGATATAAGTGAAAAAGTAATAATTTATTGCATATTATACATGTCATTTGTTATGGATAGCCTAATGTGTGTGTGTGTGTGGGGGGGGGGGGGTCGTTTGGATGTCTTCCATAGACCAAAATCCAAATATGTAAACAATTATCTGTTTTATCAAATATACCATGAGAGAGTTCTATAAAGTTTCATTATAGTAATATTAATTTGTGTTAATTATTTTGAATCAAGAAACAAAGATATCCATCTGAAAACTCAAAAATTCTGTCAAGAACATGTTAAGAACCCTGTCAATGACAATTAAGCACATTTTAGGGAAAAAAGATGGTTACACTTTATTTTATGGTGATGTATAGTTACATTGTACTTCCTCGGATAAGCACTGAGTAATATTAATTAATTAACTGCAACCATAGAGTTACGGTTAGGGTTTGGTTTAGGGTTGTAATTATGCATAATTTACTGTTATTACTATAGTAAGTAAATGTAGTAACGTGTAAGTACGCCACCTAAAAATAAAATGCTACCAAGAAGATTTTTTTTTTAACATAAAATTACTGTTACAGTAATGATTAACTGATCAGAATGATCACTTCTTATGAAAATAATGCTTCAGTGCAAAAAGTTATTAATTTTCATCTTGGGTTGAAATGTAATCCGGACGAGCATTTGTGTGACACCAAACAAGTTGACTGGCTTCATCAGCACTGAAGAGGGGATCAAAGGGTTTACTGGGATTTGAGCTGTCAATCAACACACCTCTCTGGAAGCGGAAGGCATTTTAGTCTAGATTAAGAGAAGACAAGGTTTGCATACCAACAAAATTGTATTATTATTATTATTAATAATGAATATGCAATCTTTATATGATTAGACAAAGGCCTGCACTGCAGAAAGCTAAGAGGGAAATGTGATTAGTAGACATGACACTGCAAATATCATAAACGAAACTGTTAACATGAGGACCTGATTTTATAACTAATAACAATATCAGCATGTTGCCAGTCGATTCCAACAGAAGGAGCTCCACGTGGGGGTTTTCACAGCAGTCATCCTCCAGGTGATTACTCTTTTGGATACTACAATTTTATTTAAAAAGCATTTTATTTGTAGGCTATTTATTTTTATTTAATTATTTGTTTGTTTTACTGTGATTTTTATGTCTTGGTATTAGCAATGCTCAACCTAAGGCTGAACAATTGCGGTTATATTCAGAGATATGATAATGTATCTTGTTTGTTTGTGTTGTGGAAGCATAATAATGAAAATTAAAGCATAATAAAAGAGTCCTCCTCCAGGTGCGACTGCAGCCACAGCCCGCCTGACCCGCACAATAGCGGCTAGACTGCGTGACGCACGCGCACCGCTGAGTCTGACTGGGAGTGACACCAGCGTGGATCTGGCGACGCGACGCGAGCGCAAATCAAAGGTGAGACGGCGTGTCTCCATCGGCAGATTGAATACAGACGCCTGTCAGGCTAATCACTCATTTACTGCCTGTGTTCCTGCAGCACTCCAACGGAAGCCCTTTGAACTGTCAATAAGCATCATTGTCCGATCATCTTTCACCCTTTTGTTAAACGCTTTTCTGCTTTAAGGCTTAAATTGACCATCCTCTGCTCGCGCTAAAATAAACACGTGTCAAAAATACTGTTAAAGGATTTCCGTCATAATGGGATTCAATCATAATGGGGTCTAAAAAGAATCTCTAAGAATAAAAAAAGAAAAAAAAGTGAAATGCCGATAGGATCCTTTTATTCGAAAGTTTCAGTGGTTATTAAGGCCTAATCATCATTATACTGGACATTTGCATTAGAATTCCTTAGGAAATTATGATGGAATAGCCTGACTGCTGTAAAAAAAAAAAAAACGTGTCGTTGGTTTCTGAAAACACGTGGTTTTTAGTCGCTCCAGTCAAAACAATCTTGTCAGGAATTAATTGATTAATAAATAAAAATAAAAAAAAAGTTATTTTGTCAGTAACATTTCCAGTTGTTTCCCTATGTGATTCACTACTTATGTAATTAACAAAATTTCATTCACATAATTGTTACCAAAATTAACGAAATTCTAATAGAATGTTTGTAAACATTATTGAAAGATATGCCGATGTCCTTCTTTTTATTTAATTTTTAATATTTGTATTTATTAATTAATTTATATTTGGTGGAAATACAACTTATGGAACAAAATCATAGGGATCTGTTTTTTACTGATTACTGAAAATAACTCAACATAAGCCATTATTGTCAAAATAGCTGGCAACAAAAGTGAGTATAGTAGCTAATAGCTGTACGTCGCTTAACCATGCAAAGCCACATGTCCTATTCATCATGTTCATGTTTTTGTCTGCTTGACAGGAACATACAAATGTGTCTATCTTGTATTAGAGCAGTTAAAATGTGTGCTTTGAGTACAATTCTCTCATCCTGACCACTGGATGTTCAACATGGCACCTCACGGCAAAGAACTCTCTAAGGATTTGAGAATTAGAATTGTTGCTCTCCGCAAAGATGGCCTAGCCCTAGGCTATAAGAAGATTGGTAACACCCTGAAACTCAGTTACAGTACAGGCCAGGGTCATACAGAGGTTTTCCAAGACGGGTTCCACTTGGAACAGGCCTCGCAAGGGTCTTTCAAAGAAGTTGAGTCCTTGAGCTGTGCGTCAGGTTTAAAAAAAAACAGACGCATGATCGTGCCAGCATTGCTTTATGGTGCTTTTCCACTGCATTGTACGATACGGCTCGCTTCGGTACGGCTCACTTGTGACACTTTTCCACTGCATGGTACGGTACGGCTCGCTTCGGTTTGCTTTAAATGGTACTTCTGTTGAGGTTCCAAGCGTGCCGTACCGATACTAAAATGTGACGTGAAAACACTGCAGATCACTGATTGGTCAGACAGAATCATCACTACCAGCATCATTGTATTTGCGAGACATCAAACCCGTTAGATTTAGACAGCCAGTAAGTAACAGCCACCGCTATAGCACCTGTTTTAAAACTACTTGCTTGACTTGCTTGAAGAAAAAAAGGAAGAAAAAAAACGTCCAAAAAAGAAATGGCTGAATCGTGGTCAGTGGACGAAGTGCAGACGTTCCTCTCGTTGGTCGCCGAGGAGCGGATAAACTATAATGGTCAAACTATAATCCCACCCACTTTGAAGCGGTACTAACTGCAGTGGAAAAGCAAACCGAGCTAAAGCGAACCGAGTCGTGACAAGTCGTACCACGCAGTGGAAAAGCGAAGAGAGCCGTACCGAGCCGTACCATGCCGTGGAAAAGCGCCATTAGAGGTTGTAGAAACGGAAGGAGCGCTTGTCAGTGCTCAGACAAGCGCTACTGCAACAAGTCGGCTTGTATGACCAGCATCCCAGAAGGAAGCCTCTTCTGGAGCTGGCTCACAAGAAAGCCCACAAACAGTTTGCTGATGAATTACTGGAACCATGTCCTGTGGCCTGATGACACTAAGATAAACTTGTTTGGCTCAGATGGTGTCCAGCATGTGTGGCGATGCCCTGGTGAGGAGTACCAAGAACATTGTGACTTGCCTGCAGTCGAGCATGGTGGTGGTAGCATCATGGTCTGAGGCTGCTGGTACTGGGGAGCTGCGCTTCATTGAGGGAAACATGGATTCCAACATATACTGTGACATTCTGAAGCAGAACATGATGCACTCCCTTGAGAAACTGGGCCGAACAGCATGATAACGACTCCAAACACACCGCCAAGATGACAACTGCCTTGCTGAGGAAGCTGAAGGTGAAGGTGATGGAGTGGCTAGACCTGAACATTTTTGAGCACCTGTGGGGCGTCCTCAAGCAGAAGGGGGAGAAGCACCATGTGTCTAACATCCAGCAGCTCCATGATGCCATTATCGAGGAGTGGAAGAGGATCCCAGCAACAACCTGTGCAGCTCTGGTGAACTCCATGCCTAGGAGGATTAAGGCAGTGCTAGATAACACTGGTGCTCACACAAAATATTGACACTTTGGAGACAGTTTTGACATGTTCTATTAGGGTGTACTCGCTTTTGTTGCCAGCTATTTTGACAATAATGACTGTGTGTAGAGTTGTTTTCAGAGAAGAGTAAATATATACTGCTATACAAGCAGCACATTGACTACTCTAAATTATATCCAAGTTTCATTTCTATAGCATTTTCCCTTGAGAAGATATACTAAAATGTTTGCTGAAATGTGAGGGGTGTACTCAGTTTTGTGAGATACTGTATATA